CCAAAACTGGTGTAATGTGCTCTCTTTTGCCTGTACTGGTTAAAAATCGGGCTGCTGCATTCTGGACCAGTTGTAGTCGTGCAATGGAGGTCTGACTGATACCAAACAGGAGCAAATTGCAGTTGTAGTGATATATAGTAATCAAGCCTAGATATAATGAATGCATGTATTACTGTCTCCAGGTTATTTTTGGACAATATGGGCTTCAGTTTAGACAGCCGCCTCAGTTGGAAGAAGCATGATTTAACAATCATGTTTACATGATTGTTAAGCTTCAGGGAAGGGTCCATTATCACGCCCAGATTAGTGACTCTTTGTTTTTCTGACAGGGTTAGAGCGGAGAGGTCGATACAGTGGTTTGTGATCGTGTCGTTGGAAGGGAACAACATGACTTCAGACTTCTTTTCATTGAAACTCAAGAAATTTAAAGCCATCCAGTCCCTGATGTCAGCCAGGCAGTTGAGCAGCGGTTGAATAGAGCATGTACCACTGTGTCTTAGGGGGAAGTAAATTTGACAGTCATTGGCATAGAAGTGGAAGGGCATGTTGTGTTTCCGGAAAATAGCACCAAGTGGCAGCAGGTATAAAGAGAATAGGAGGGGACCCAGGATGGACCCCTGCGGAACCTCCCATTTAAGCTCTGCCTCTGCGGAACTAAAATCCTTGATGGAGACACAAAAGGATCTGTCAGCGAGGTAAGATCTGAACCAATTGAGGGCTGATCCTGTGACGCCCACCCACTGCTCCAACTTAGCAATGAGGATCTCATGGTCGATGGTGTCAAAGGCGGCTGTGAGGTCCAACAGGACAAGCAGCACAGAATCACCGGTATCTGTGAATCTGAAGATGTCGTTAAAGACCTTCAGCAGGGCAGTTTCAGTGCTGTGGAGAGGTTTAAAGCCAGATTGGAAAAGCTCTAAGATGGCGTGATCCTCCAGGAAGCACTTCAACTGGGACTCGACTATTTCTCCAGTACTTTAGAAACAAATGGGAGTTTGGAGACAGGCTGGTAGTTGGAAACGACTGAGGGGTCAAGGTTTGTTTTTTTCAGGAGAGGCTGGACGGCAGCATGTTTAAAGGATTTTGGCACCATGCCAGTGGATAAACTACTGTTTACTATATCAAGAATGGACAGACCTAGAGTTGGAAACACCTCCTTTAGTAGTCGAGGGGGGACCACATCAAAGGGGGAGCCAGAAGGTTTCAAGCTGCACATGGCCTGCTCTAGAGAAGATAGAGTGATGGGTTCAAAATGGTCAAAAGGAGCTAGAGATTGAGGTGGGATGGATGAGTCATGAGTTGGAGGGGAAATGAGAGCCCGGGTGGTTGCAATTTTTTCCAAAAAGAAATGTAAGAAGTTGTCGCACAGCTCAGTCGAGGCTTCCAGAGGTGATGGTTCAATGAGGTGGAGAACAGAGTTTAGTGCAAGAATGCACGGCTTAGGAGTTAGATGGGGGAGGGTGAACTCAAACCGGACTGGCATGTGGTCTGAAAAAACATTACCACCAATAACAAGATTATTAACAGTCATATCATGAGTTAAAACAAGGTCCAGTGTATGTCCACACTCTTGGGTGGGACCGTTTATATGCTGAGTTAAATTAAATGAGTCCAATAAATCTAAAACGTTTTTAACCAAGGGCTTCTCAGGACAGAACACGTGCAAATTAAAGTCCCCAATAATGAAAACATACTCATATTTTGGTGTGATTTCAGCCAAGTAGTCAGAAAACTCATTTATGAAATCCTTAGACCGAGGTAGGTGGTAGACGAGTGCAAATAAAGTCTGAGGTGAATGTCCGAGTTCATATTCTTTTTATAATGCCTTGTAGGCATTCACACAATTACAGTATTTGGCTACCAGATGACAATAATTTCACTTATTTTCAATACTGAATCGGGACTATGAAAGAATAAATGCATTTCATCCCTCCAACTTATCTCCAATGTTTGAAATAAAATATGGGACTTTACCTACATCTTTTTATGTTTCAAGCCTTGATGCATGTCATGTAAAAATGCCTTTTCATGGACTTGTATTAAATGTGTAGAAATGATCTTTGTCATCTTGGGACTGAATTTCTGGAATTGCATAAAATGCTCAGATAGTCTAAGTCAGAATATCTGGAGTTCTGAAACATCTAAATCAGTTGCTTAAATATTAAAATTTCTTGCAGAGTTCAGAAGTGAAAGCAGTTTTTATGTAAAGATGTTTCAAAGTTCGAAAGTAAAAAAAGTATGAAGAGGTCTAACTTGGGACAAAGCAGAAGTTGGTAAACTGTAGGATTTGGGCTTTACATTTTTTTCAGTGATTGCAGAACTGCTGTTTTTTTTTTGGTTTGTTTTTGTTAAACCAGCAAAGTGAATCATTTGACATCTTTAATATCTAGTAAAACCTAACTTTTAGAATAAATGCTGTTCTACAAGTTGTGCAAACAGAGCTGACGGTAAAGCCACACTATTCCCCACCTTTTAACAGGAATGAAGCGTTTCACAACAGCTTCTCAAATCTTCTTTTGAGTAATAGTACATACTTTAACAAATTCATTGTGATCTTTGATGCATTTTCACATGCAGAAAATGTCCACATTTAGTTCTGCATACATTTGCTCCTGTCTTGAACAAAATGCAGTTCCGAAAAGATAAATGAATTGTGTTATGTGGTGGTTGGAAGCTTTCTGAACTCAAAAATAATATGAGCTACAATCCAGCTTTAAAGCTGAATGACAGTGCTTCAACAGTGAACAGTATCAAAAGTCCAGTTGTACACAGCACAAAAGGTAAATCTTTGATTTAAATGCCCCCAAAAAAATGAAAACCAGTTAATGTGAACACAGTCATTTTGCTACAGAAATAAACACTTAAAAACCCCATAAAACTAAAGCTTACTTAATTTACAAAAAAAAAAAAAAAATCACTGTAATGCCACTTTAATTGGTGATATATGACTTATCTGTGCTGCTGATTATCCATGCTGCTGATCTCTTGCCTTTATGCTGCTGTATTCATTCATACCCATTATCAGTGTTTAGCGTATATCTTAGATCTTTTAGCGTAATGTTTAGCGTTCTTTTAGCGCTTATCAGTGTATAGTAGATCCTTATATACTGCTTCTTTTTATACTTCATATTTTTGCTATCTTTGGGTGTAACTGGGACCCTGTGTACACAATTTCGTTCCACTTCATGTACCACATGAGATGCAAATGACAATAAAGATACTTGAACTTGAAAAGAAATACAGTATAATAAAAACAAGATATGTACTGTTCAGAATCATGGGCTCATCACAGTGGGTATGCACCTTTACAAGGAATAGCATTAGCGTCAAACTAGAGGATAAATTCTGGTGTGTAGTCAAATAAAATATCAACTCATAAAATGTACATTATGAATCTCCTTATTGTCCTGATTGACCTAAGTATCTTACAGTTAGTCAGTGATCATATAATGGACAATGATTAACAATACACCACATTTTACCACAGTGCTAATATTACTGAACCCACCTCGTGTCTTCTCAGAATGGAAACGTGGTCACTGTGTCCACTACACTTATAACAACCAACCACCAACAGGGGGCGCTGTTTATCATTTTATACAAGACCCAACTAAAAAGCAACGACAATTGGAATCATATAATACATTAACCCTGTTACATAAGCAGAAGAAAAAAATCTGAATGCAACAAACCATTATTAAACTATGTAAAAGTGTCAACTCTTGTGCTTTTTTTTTTTAAAGCCAGTGAGTTTTATGTTTTTTAATGAGAAAGTGTTGAAGCCTAAAATGAAAGGGCAGCTTAAGAGCTAAACATTAAAAGTGTAAGCATTTAAGGTCAAGATGTCTGAATATTTTCCTAAAATGTGCACAAAAAAAAGAAGAGTAGAGCAGATGTCAAAATGTGTTGTAAATGCAGAGGTTAAGTAACTTTTAATTTTCTGACTTTCCCAGAATGCATCTTACCCATGATGTAGACAATCACTGCGCCAAGCACTCACTGTAAGCATGGCAAGTTTCACTTTTTGTGCAGTGCTACTAGAAATCGATGAGGCACTGTTGTTACTGAGCATGCTGACTAGGTCAGCCAAAGTCAGTCTCTATATTGTAACATTCCTGCTGAAACAGAGTAGAGGCAGAAGACGATAACTTGGCTAAGCATGGTAGCAATAGATAAGAAATTACCACTTAGCATGATATTAACAGAGAATAAGGGTTGGATGGACTTTTGTTAGATGTTGAATGGAAATATTTAAAATCTTAAATATATTTTAGTCTTTCCATTATAAAGTTATGATGGAGGGGGGGCAGTAATGGATCAAATCCAAGCTTCTGACAATTTCCCAATGTATCTTAATAAAGCTTAAATAAACCTATTTCAAATGGTACAAAAAGCACAATCATAGCAAGCATCTCCTCAATGCTCTTTAACAATTGGAAATTTGAACAGTTGCAAGAGGTTCAGGATGCAGGAGTAGATACGCATAAAAAAACAGCACAAGAGGAACAAACAGAATTTTAATTGTGTGCATTTCAAACAGACTAATAAAGTGATTTAGTAAACTGGGAATCACCTCCAGGCGGACTGAATGAGGAGCCTACAGGTACAGAGGAGTTAGTTCAGCTTGACAAAGTCTCCTGACTGCATCACTCCTGAATGAGAACCACATTCTTTCATTGCAGCTGATGAAACTCTTGCCTCTTCAGTCTTCATGGAATATTTAAGTCTTTAAAATCTAAGCTTCAGAATCATGTTTCTGGCTTTAACACAGGCATGCTAACCCATACATGTTGCTAATGTGAGGCTTTGTTTTTTGTAGTTTTCAGGGAAAGTGTCATTGGAAGGCAGGTTGCCAGTGACTCCTTTGCAAATGCAATAAATGGAGGCAAATATGACATCAAAAAGTGACTAGTGCATGGGATGAACTGCTTTTTAATTTAGCGTATCAACTTGTAAATGAATCTTTGTTGTTGTTGTATGTTTGTTTGACTCAGCTGTTCATGGACCCTAGTAGGAATATTGATGCTGTGTGCACCTCTTCCTCCTCTGTGTTATGTGGAGCCACCCCAGACACTGATGGAGGAAAACAACATTTTATCACAGGCTGAAATTTGGATTAGAATGCACAGCGACTGCTGAATTCTTACGTCAGTTTCTCTGTCAACTTGTTGCTGCATCTGCCCTGTAACTATAGGCATGCTGGAAGATGATGGGACAGAGCATAGCTCATGTGTGACTTCAGTGAGTTGGGGCATAAACTTGACTGCTGCCCAGAAGAAAAACTTGATTCGGCACTATAAGTGGCTGTGGCTGCAAGATATGTTAAAGAGTCACTTCTGAACTGTGGTAAAACTGAAAAGTGAAAGACAATGACCTTTTGTTCTATTTAGCTTTAAACGCCTCAGATCACATGTTTCTCCCTCCCCTGCATGATCAGCATCCCAGCAAAGTGCCTTTGAACTGACTTTGTGACTGGGGACACTGTCCAAGCCTAAATCTATGCGTGCATCAAGAGGCATGATGGTTCATGCTCCTGGTACAGAGGCTGCGCACCACCAAAGATGGACTGACGCCCTGGGAGCAGTTAGGGGTTGGGTGTCTGGCTCAAGGACACCACGACAGGTGGGCATGGCGGGGAGATGAGCCTGCGACTTTCTGTTCCCAGGTCGGGTGCCCTTCCTCCACTCCATCTCGGCCCCCTTTGATTTGTGTGATGGCTCAGGTCAGGAAGATTTACGGTTAAATGCAGAGAACTCATTTTGTTGTGGCATGGGAACAGACAATGATGACAAAACACTTTACTTTACACTGTTTAATTCCTCCCTATGTTTTTTTTTTTTGCTGTTTGTTTGTTTTTTTTCTCTGTCTGTTCACAAGCTGCTGTAACACCTGAATTTCTCATGAACAATAAACTTTATCTATTTTTAGCTATATGAATCTGCAGCGGCATGGTGACTCTGTTAGTAGAACTGTTGCCTCTCAGCGAGAAGGTCACCGGATCGAATCCCGGGACCTTTCTGGGTGGGGTTTGCATGTTGCGTGGGTTTTCTCCAGGTATTCCAGTTTCCTCCCACAGCCTAAAAAACATGCATGTTAGGCTGATTGGTAACTCTAAATTGTCCCTAGGTGTGAATGAGAGAGGTTGTTTGTCTCTATTTGTCCTTGTGATGGACTTTTGACCTGTCCAGGGTGTACCCCGCCTCTCGCACAGTATGACTGCTGGATATGGGCACCAGTGACCCGCATGCGTGATCCAAACAGAAAGAAGCAGGCAAAAATAATGAATAGATGGATTAACTTTCTACCACTTTGTAAATCATTTATGATTCGTCCGAATGTCCAAAATTATACCACTAAGTTTAAAACAATGGCAGACAGCTCATTGTAAATATACCGGCAAAATACATTGTGTACAATAAAGGATCGATTCTACAGTAGATTGTCTGACTCAGTCTGAAGTTTAAACAACCCGATTTTTTGCAAATGCAATCTGAAGTGTAAAGCAATAGTGATATGACCATGAGTGCGTATAATATGAGCAGTTGGATTGGTTACAGATAAGATTTTTTTATATATATATATATATATGGTGGAAGGAGGCACATATCTTTATTGTGTTTTTTTTTTTTTTTTTTTTAATTAAACCAGGGGTGTTCGATCCTGGTGCTTGAAGGCCTCTATCCTGCATGTTTTACTTGTTTACCTGCTCCAACACACAGCTAAACTACCTCTTTGTGTGCTCGGGGACCAGGGTTGGACACCCCAGGACTAAACACAACTCTCAAATTTCCTCCCTGGGATTAATAAAGTACTGCATCTATCTATCTATGCTGCTCACTAGTATATCAATACGTAGTAGCACAATATTCACAATGTTATATGCAGCAGCAGACTGTTTTAGTGACTGCAGCATCCCCCTTTGCAAAAATAAAGGGACAGGACTGCCATCTAGTGGAGAAAACATGGTGCAGTCAGATTCACGTGCACACAGTGTATTCATGCTTGAAACTAAAGATTTAATAAATGAATCGATTTGAAATGTAGCATCGTTTTTATTTAAATGCGTTTTAATAAACGTGATGTGTAAAAATCAGCTTTTGTTTTTGAATCGTGTGCCTTATTTCGATTAAATTTGCTAGAGTTTTGAAAAATGTATAAATAAGTGGTACGTTTTTATCTCGATGCCATTCTTGCACGCTTTTCGTTTGACACGCGCTTTGGCCCTGCTGTCACATTAGAGGCTGTTAAACGATCATCTCTCGCGCCGATTGCGTCAATGGTAAACAGCGCTGCCTGGAAGTCACGTTTGGCTCTCTACTGACAGCGCAACGTCACTCTGAGCGTTGATTGGACGAAACTTCGTGTCGCTGCATTGCTCATTATCCTATTGGTCCGTGTTTCCTGTCAGTCATTTGTTGGCTCCGCCCTCTCATAATGCAGCATGGGCAAAAAATAGCCGACTAGGTAGCTTCAGTGAGGTAGCAAACTCCTTTTGTTGAATATTTTGACCGGTTGAACTTAAGGTGAGTGGACGAACGCGTGAACTTGCGTAATTAATGTTGTTTGTACGTGTCCGAGCAGATACCATTTGACAGATAGAGAAAAAGTGACTTGTCAGGGGTCGTTCAGATATGCTAAACCACATTGCAGCAGGCTGTCGCCACGTTAAGCTAGCTCGCTGGCTAATTCGCAGCTGCAGCTGTAAAACGTACAAACACGTAACACGAAACGCTAAACAGTACAGACCGTTAAACTATCGATTATTGAAGTGATTAAATACTTTAATTAAGGTGTGTTAATGTTGATTATGGATTTTATAAAGCTCACGGATCGTAAACAAACGTAGCCGACGTTAGCATCTGCTAGCATGGCCGCTCAGAGAGCTGGCCCGTCCAGTCCAAAAGAAGTGACAGCAAAATAAACGAAGCTTACAAAGTGAATATTATCAGAACCAGTTAGTTTATATATTTTCTTAACAAACTTAAAGCGTTACTACACTGTGTGATGGTTCTAATCATTTTTATTTTCTGCTTTTTATCGGCGGATTAATTTATTTCTTAGTTGGTTTTAATATTAATATGAAATTAACTCAACATTATTAACTCGGCTGATCAGAATTTGCTTTGAATTTTTACTTTTTTAAAGAAATTTGAAAGGTTCTACAAAATATCACTAAACACCTCCTTTAAAAGTAGAAATTGAGTTAAAAAAAACCCTGTTTTCTCATTTGTAATGACAGTATACTGTTTTTATTTTATTTTTTTTAATCACAAGACAATGTTTGATCCCTTCACACATTTCTGTTGATTTAAGGCTAAAAAAACAGTTTTATTCATTAATCTGCCACTGCTCAATTAACAGCTTTTATGAAACTTATATTGTATTTATGGAAATATTTTTATTGTCTAACAGTGTAATCAATAATTTTAGCTATATTTTCTATTACACAATGATTTAGATTATTTGAAATTGTGTAAACCCATCACTTAATTTTCCTTTGTAATGGTTGGTTTGTTATCCTCTGTGGCTCAGTAATGGGATGAGTTATTGATTATTTCTCCCATCACTCAAGTGTTTTTGAGGGGGACTAATTATTTTGCTCATTATGGTATGCCATCTTAAATGGCAGCTATAAGACATTGTTCTTACTTGTTCCTACATTGCTATCCAATATGCATTAATCTAATTGTAAACTCATAAAATGTCTGCTTACGTTCCAGCATTTCTTCAGTTTTTAAGCGGTCGTATTCAGGGGAGTCCTGTCGGGGCATGACGTATACCTGCTAGTTTGTTCTTGCCCTAAAAACTTGTCCTGTAAATCCTCTTTTGAGTGTCCATGGTGAGCTAATGTTTTTCTGCAGATCCAATCTGCTGCTCATTCATGAAACACATTTTCCAGACAAACCTACTTGATCATTTCACTATAAATGCGCTTGAGATAACTATATTCATGTCTGTTTAAATATCTAACCTATTTGAAAATAGCTGGGTGATGCAAACAAAATTATATTTTATTCATTTATGGTATAAAATAAGCATAAATACTATTTGGAATAAGATTTTATAGCTCTATTAAATTTGTCTGACATGTAAACATCTATTAAAAGTTTGTAAAGTGTCGTTTTAGCTGTTTGTTTTTGCATCATTAAATTTTTTTTTGTGTGTAATAGAACTGGAACTGGAGAAAAGTTGACAACAGAACATGCAAACATTGTGGCTACTTGTAATAGCACAAGTCACAACACAAGTGAGGACAAAGTTTAAAGGTGATTTGTCTGTTTAGTCCCCACTAGTTTTATTAACTTTATGTTTGTTGCCACAGTCTGTTTGTATTTTGCAATTCAAATTAAATGAAGGGGGAAATTAATAGCATAGTTATTGCTGTCCTCCTTAAATATCAACCACTAGATATTAATACTAATGAGCAATGTTCCTCGCCTGCAAATAAAATGATAAAAAGAAACGACTGATTTCAAGTCACGTGGCATTTTTGATTTTCAAAAAAAGAACAATGTATGAATTTTTCCAGACTGACAAAAAAACCTTAAGGCATACCGGTAGTAGAGCTGTGAAAACACTAAAGAAAGCCCACACAGATACAGGGAGAATATTTGAATGTGACACAGAAATGTCTAAAACCCATTCAAACTGGGACCTTGATGTGACAATCGTCACTGTTTTGTTCTCGCTCCATCATTAAAAGATTAATTATTATGGAAAAATAACCTGATTAAGAACCACGTTGCGGCCTGATTTATTAGTTGCATCCCTGCAGTTAGTTGTGTCCCAGCAGACTTGCTTGTTCTTGGTTGCATCTCCATCAGCAGCACGGGAAGGTCAGCGCGTCCTTGTGCATACAATGCATGTTCAGCCCTTCTTTCTCCTCATGACGTCACAGCCCACTCTGATGAGCAGGTCTCCTGTGGAACTGTGTCTCTTTGCCATTTTAAAGTGCACCTGAAACACAATAGTTTTTAATTTGTCAAAAGGGTTGCCATATTGTGTTATGAAGGTGATAAAAGATACAAACTCGAGTCGAATTAGTTATCACTGAATGTATTTTTGTCTAAACTAAAACTGAAGTCATTCATTATTAATAAATATTGTGCATTTGAGTACACCAGAAAGGTTTATTCAGTTTAGAAAGATTTAGTTGACGTTTTTGATGTTTTAACAAAAGCAAATATCAAGTGCTATTTTTAAAATAATTTTAAAACGACAGATGTTCAACTTCTGCTCTAATCAAAAAGTGTGACTTGCACCTTAAATTGTGCTCTAAGTACTTATCTTCCTTTTTGTTCACCC